TATATTATATACAGTACAGTATTAAAGTACAGTCCTGTGTCATGTGACAGAAGCTGGAACCATCTGAGGGACAGGAAGAGGCCGTGAGCGTCTACGTCATCGTTTCCAATCATCTGTGTTCACGGCTGTAAAACTAAAGTGTGGACGTGTTTCTGTCGCAGAGCTGATGAGTTTCAAACGAAGCGTAGAGGACGAACTCAGACGTGCTTGTTAAATATGGACCAAGATATAGAAGAAGAATTATTAACGTGTTTTAAATTAATTTCTCAAATCTGTCATTCCTCCATCTTTTGTCTCCTGACGTCTCAACCAGCCTGAAGTGAATCTGTGAGTTTTCATTCTCTGGTTTCTGTTTGGATGGTTCCACATCTCAAGGCTCTTTACATCGTGAGCTCCAGATGCTCTCATCACCGTCCTGCAGAGGTTTGACTCTTCATCCAGCTTCAGTCACATGCATTGAGTCCAGACTCATCAAGTCACTGTGACCTTTGACCCCTGAATTCTCTGAAGACTTGAGATATCAAGGTTTTTAAGATTCCGGCGGATGAAACCGAGGACCGAGCATCAGGACCCGAGAGGATCTCGTCAACAATCAGCGGCTCTCAGCGCCGCTGGTCAATAAGACGATGGATCAATGTGTCGCCGCACACGTGTGATTACTCAGAACATGGTTAGAACACACAGATAACCTCATTCATCTCCACCACAATATAAAAGAATGAAATATTGATCTAAAACAGGATGAGTTTAACCTCAGTGTCACAGGATCGATTCTCTTCTGACGTGGTGAAGCAAACAAATCACAACGACAGAGTGAACTGACCGTGGTACGTTCGATTCCACATCCTCTTGGTGACGACTTTCCCCGGAGGACGACCTCCGGACGCAGACAAGCTCTCGTTCAGAGCGCGAGTGTAGAGCATCAGGCCGTCGTAGAATCCTCCAGCGATGATGTTCATCTAGAGCACAGGAGCAAACAGGAGACTTTATTCTTCTGGATTTTCTTATTTCTCTTGAACTCGAGTGAAAACGAGTCGACTGCTGTCGTCTGCGTGAACTTCAGCAACAGAACCTCTTTGTAACACTTCCTGTTCTGGCAGCAGCTCGGTGATGAGACGATACGAAGAGAAATTACAAGATTGAACGACAGAGATTTCAAGATTTAAGACTGATTTCAGTTTGACCTGGTTCATTTTATATAAGATGTCAACTCACATCTATTATTATTGACGACACCTCACGTCATTACTGCCCCTTCATCTCCGAGTGTGAGTGTGTGTGTGTGTGTGTGAGAGTGTGTGTGTGTGTGTGTGTGTGTGTGTGTGTGTGTGTGAGAGTGTGTGTGTGTGAGTGTGTGTGTGTGTGTGTGTGTGTGAGAGTGTGTGTGAGAGTGTGTGTGTGTGTGTGTGTGTGTGTGTGTGTGTGAGAGTGTGTGTGTGTGTGTCCAGCTCTCCTTGGTTTAATTACATTAACATCCATCTGCTGCTGATTAACTGGATTCAGAGCTGCCAGACAACCTGCACACAACACAACACAACACACACACACACACACACACACACTCACAGACTGAAATGTACCTTTACGTGTCTCATTTAAAACGTATTCTTAACTTATTGACAGTTTAATTTGAACTTTTGGTTTATTCATAGATGATGTTTTCATTTTTAACTGTTTGATTGTTTGATGAAGTTTCATCTTATCTGAATGAACTTGCTGCTGTTTGAAAACACCAGATTATTATTAAATGATGATGAACGCAGCTCTGCAGTAACGTGAGCTGCACACGTTCTGACCTTCTGTTTAAATACAAGAGAGGATTCTGTTGCTTCAAGCTTTGATTTTTAACTGTCAGTAACATGCTCGACATTTAACACACACACACGCACACACACACACGCACACACACGCACGCACACACACGCACACACACACAATGAATGTCAGGAGCTGTGAAGTTTAAAAATGAAATGTTTCCAACATGAACTCAGAGACCTGTCGTCCTTTAGAGAAATACCACAGTTGATTTGAATTTTTTTTCAGTCAGTGTGCGTCAGCCGTATGTCTGTGTCTGGATATCATTAACATCTGCCCTCCTCTGTTTACCACACACACACACACACACACACACACACACACAGTTTGATTAAATGAGTTGATGATGTGATGTAAACTCAGATCTAATATGGACCAGAGGTCCTGATGGTGTCAGCTGATGCTGGACCACGATCACCAGACTTCCTGATGTCTCCTCATCTTCATCAGTGACTCCTCAGTTCATGTGTCTGCTCCTTCATCTCTATCAGACATGTTCTCATGTACAAATACTTTAAATATGCAAACTGTTTCTTCTAATGTAGTAAATCTGTTCAGGTACACGCAGCCTCTATTGTCCTCGTGTCCTGGAGACGGATCCTCACATGTGACTCTGATAATCACACATTTGCATAATAATGTCTGTATCTGTAATCTGCACGTTGTTGACACACGTCGTCATTATCAGCTGACTGAAGTCTAACAACACGGTTTCCTCTGTTTCTCTTCGAGTCACGTTCGTCCACATGGAGAAGGATCCAGATTTGTCTAAACTGTGACGTTGACATATTGAAAGACATTTGTAGAAATCTTTGCAAAAGTCCACCAATTTATTTCAGGTGTCAGAACACGCAGATCTTTTCTTTATCAGGTCCGGTGTTTTCGATCCACAGATTCAGGAGAACAGAAGAAAATCTTTTATGACTCCACGTGTATTTTATATCAACGTTGACTCGCTCACCAGCGTGTCCTCGATGGTGAAGTTGAACATCTTGATGGCGTCCGTCTTCAGGTTGTGGACGAACTCTCTGTACTCTGGATTCTGAGGCTCTCGATACGTCAGAATCTTCACACTCTGAAACCAGGAAGAGCGTGAATTTAAAAACACACAACTAAAACAAGTGTTTGAGACAGAGGCTGAAAAGAGGAGCTGCAGCGATGGACAGACTGAGGACAGAGATTGAAAACATTAGAGCATGAAAACATTTTGTGGTCTTTATATACAGTCAGAAAATAAACACTGTACCTGAAAAGCCTCCTTGGCGATGGCGTCGTCCTCGTCTCCGCGGGCCCACGGCTGTCTGTGCTTTGAGTTGAGACTGTCTCCGAACACGTCGATGTAGAAGAAGACGTACTGCTCGTGAGGGAGGTCCGCGCGACGGAACTGGACCATCAGCTTCCTGAAGACGTCGGGCGAACAGCAGACGAACATCACTGTGAGAGGAGACACGCTGCGTCAGGGCTCGAGCACGTGAATGATTCGTGAAGACGTTTAAGGTTTGGAGTTAAAAAAGCTGGAGGAGGAGATAATCTGAGAAACATTTAGAATTCATTAGATGAAAATTACACAAACAATTCTCTTGAGATTTATTTATGTCTTGAAGAAGCAGAAACAGAATCTGTGAAGATTTATGACCTATACTGCAGCCAGCCACCAGGGGGCCCTTCAGATCATCTGCCTTCACTCTCGGGAGCCGTAATGTATCGTATCAGTTTCCATAAGTGGACGTTGACTCCGTGTCCGAGAAATGGAAGCCGATACAGAACCACCTGAAACCCGTCTTCTGGATAATGACCAGCAGGTGGCGTCTCCACTGCTGGTTTGGTACGTCTCACTTCATAACGTCAGGAAACATTTCCCACAGCGAGCACTGTCCAATGGGTGCAGGTGTAGGTGTGTCCTCAGATCAGCAGGACGTCAAATGTTTCTGTTTTATAATCGAGCTCAAATCCAAAGCTCAACATCTGTCGGGGTTTTTTCAGAGACGACAAAGGATGAGCAGAAATCTGAGGAGACTCTGCGGCGGCCGACAGAATCAATTTGTTATTGATGGAGTTATTGATGGACAGAGAGACAGCAGGAGGTCACACTCACTGTTTTCTGTCTCTTCAGTTAAAATAGAAAAAGACTCTTTTCACACAAGTGAATGTTAATTTCCAGGATCCAGGATAATCCAAAATAATTGTGGGTTTTAAAGGAGAATAAAATAAGAAATGTGTCGTTAAAAAGCAAACACATCTCAAATCAATTCATTAAACTTAAATTGAATGAGACGCTTTCTGTCATTTTTAGAAAAAGTCGAACAAACCTCCACATTTATGTCAAATATTTTAAAATGATCTGAACGTTCTTGAGAACACGAAACCTCAGCTGAGATGTTTCAGTGTCGTAACTGAGACTCTGAGCTTCCACAGTTTCTCGGCTTCCTCTCGGACCCGATTCTCGGTGTCGGAGCCTCAGGAAGTCTCCGGAGGCGCGATGACATTCCTCCGGCCGCTCCCGTCCCACAGCCTCTATTGTTTCAGACTTTAATAACCTCTGAGCAGGAAGTGAATGTGAAACCACAGAGGCCACACGGGGCTAAAAGCTTCTTCCGATTGATTCGAGCTAAAAAAAACTCAACTAACAACTCTGTGCTGCCGAGAGAAGAAAACCCTGATCTAAAAATACACACACACACACACACACACACACACAC